CACACACACACACACACACACACACACACACACACTCCGCCCTCTCTCCATCTCTCTTTCTATATCCCTGTGTTTGGCTGTGAGTTAGTTTGAGTGTGATTTATGATTACCTCATCAAGCACATCGCCAGTGAAGATAAGATCTTAGGGACCGATTCACTCTGTGTAGCTTGACTAAATGCAGAAACCCTTCTGCTTCTTCTCCACCTCATCCTCCCTCTCCACCTCCTCCTCCTTCTCCACCTCCTCCTCCTCCTCCTTCTCCTTCACCACCTTCACCGCCTTTACTACCGTCACCACCTTTACCACCGTCACCACCTTCCCCACCTTCACCATCTTCCCCACCTTCACCACCTTCCCCACCTTCATCACCTTCCCCACCTTGCCGTCCTTCTTCCCCACCTTTCCCTCCCCCTCCTTCTTCCCCTTCTCCTTCCCCTCCTTCCCCTTCTCCGTCCCCTTCTCCTTCCCCTTCTCCTCCTCCTCCTTCTTGTTCTTCTTCGTCTTCTTCTTCTTCTTCTTCTTCTTCTTCTTCTTCTTCTTCTTCTGTACCCTATTTCCATCCTACAAGCTAGCCCCCTCACTAGTAGGATGCTTGACATCCAACCATCTATTCATCCCACTCAACCTCTTTTTGAAAAAATAGCCCCACAGAACAATCCTGCCTCCATCATCGAAGGGAAGAAACGCAGACTGATCCGGGTGAAGTTAGCGGCCAGTGGTCGGTACCCGTCGAAATTTCAGCGCCAATTGCATCCACTACCGACTTCCTCCTTCCCAATCACCTCCGTCCTTCCCAACTCCGTCGTCGTGAAGAACTTCAGGGAGCCTCTTCTCCGCGGGGGCTGAGCACCATCATCACCCGGACATTCTTTGCCCCCACAAGAATCCCAGTCTCCGTTCTTCCTCTTCTTCTTCTTCTTCTTCCTTCTTCGCCCTTCTTCGCCGCCTTCACCTTGTTTGCCTTCTTCCTTCTTCGCCGCCTTTGCCTTGTTTGCCTTCTTCCTCTTCGCCGCCTTCGCCTTCGCCTTCACCTCCTTCTTCTTCGCCGCCTTCACCTTCGCCTTCGCCTTCTTCACCTTCTTCCTCTTCGCCTTTTTCGTCTTCTTCTTCTTCACCGCCTTCGCCGTCTTCTTCTTCTTCTTCGCCGCTGCCTTCTTCGCCACCTTCGCCTTCACCTTCTTCGCCTTCACCTTCTTCGCCTTCTTCACTTTGGGTACAATATCTTTTCAGCCTGTTGCTAGCAGAGTTTGGCTGTCATTGATCATCTCCTTGACCTATTGTGCAGGATGATATCGTACATGGAAATCTCACAGTGGAGGAGAACTTATGGTTCAGTGCCAGATACCGGTAAGCAGTTCCATCTGTGTTGTTTTTGGCTGGGCATAATCTCCGTTTACGTGTTAGCCCTTCCCTCACGTCTCCACTGGTCCATCTCTAGGTCACCAACCCGTTACACTATGCTCTCTGTCACAGTCACTGATGCTCCCCGTCTTCCCTTCCCGTATGCTCTGCGTTGGCTGTTTGCTTGGGCGAGATGTGCATGTGAATCCTGTGAGTTGCCTTTTCAGAAAAAAAGTGTGTGGGCACGTTGGTTCATGGTCCATCTCGCCCTGCCACTCTCCGCTCTTACCCCTTACACCACTGTTAACCAGTGCATGGAATTATCCTGATGTCTTCGGAGACTGGTGCAACGACTGACGCAGATTTAGTTTGAGCTTTCCTGGGTTTTGCTGTGTTCACCACCTGTTCTCACCGTTTCCTCTGTGTGCATGTGGAATTATGAATCTCTGTCCCTGAGTTTCTTGCAGTCATGTGCATCTGGCCATTGGCCTTGCCACATCTGTTAGGCAAATGTGAGTCACACAGGTAGTTGCTTGCCAGTGGACGAAAATGGAAAGGCCGATGAATCATGGGACCACCCAGGGAAAGTCAAGTCTTGGAAGTGGGGGGACTTGAAATTTTGTCATTTTAGGGACAGAAACGCCAAACTTTGTGAACCAGTGATCAGGATTCTGTTGCAGTTTAGGTCCAGATACTGACCAGCATGCTCAAGAGCACATAGCAGACCTGGGTAGCGGCCTGCACTTGGACTACAGTGGAGCCAGATACATTCAGGGACAAGATTAGAAGATTGCAGTTGAACTGAAGGCCATCATTTTCCTGCCGAAACACAGCGTAAGAGCCTGGGGGGCGCACTAGCTTCCCTCATGCAAAGGAGGATAGAGGCCTCAGTCAAACCATCATTACCCAACTTACTTGGCAGACATGCTGGTACATAAGGAGCCTGCGATTTGCAAGGATCCACCGTACTGTCAATGTTCAGAGGGATGTATCTCTGTGACTTTGGCCCCGGAGGGTTTTCACAGCTTTTCAGGTTGTGGTGCTCTGAATGCCGCATCACAGTTGCGATTCTACTGAATGTTTTCCAGAGCCCCGAAGGCTTGGGAATTCTGAAGTTCTCGGAAGCTTGTAGACGGGGGAGGACGAGGAGCTCTTTGGCCATGTGGCAGTGGTGGTGACTTCGTGTGGTTGTTGTAGGGCAACGTTGGAGGGCCTAGGATTTTATGATGTATTACTAGTAGGGAGCAACAGGAACTTACCTGGTGGTTTCGGGAAACTGTGTACTCTCTTTATGTGCTTGACGCTCAGAGTTTTTCCAAGCTACTGGCCAGTGGTTGACGACAGGCACCACTTAGCACATCTTGCATCACAGCTGATAGCAGGATATTGGCCTGTGACAGTTTAGGCCCGACATCTGAACCCTCAATGGCAATCAGTTCGATGACAGATTGATTTTGGCCTTCGAGGGTCGTCTTTCAACCTCCCAAAGCAGGGCTCAAAAGCAGAAATCCCGACATTCGTAACTGGCAACTTCCATGAGGTCTCCTTTTTCTGTGGAAAATTTTTCAACATCTTAACCGGAAAGGTGATGCATTTTCTGGATTGGGCTGTATGACCTGGTAGGGGAGGGAAAGGGAACCCCAATCACTGTTCAGATCTCTCTCTCTCTCTCTCTCTCTCTCTCTCTCTCTCTCTCTCTCTCTCTCTCTCTCTCTCTCTCTCTCTCTCT